AAAAAAATAAACAAGTTCATTAATTGTTTACTTTAAAACACATAAACATGTTTAAAAACTTCAAAAAAGTGTACGTTTCACCGTACCTTATGTTCGTGCAAGTTGTTGGCAGCCATTTTGGATGCATGACACTCTTGTTTCCAGACTCACTAATTTTTCACGATCCTCGGCCCAGTCTCCGGCCAGTGTTAATGTCCCCGGTAAAACCCCGGCTATTTTTAAAATCTGTTAATTCCCCTGCCCCCCTTGGATTGATGCTATTAAAACAGCGTTAAATCCCCGGATAAAATGTGTTAATTCCCCGGCCCTCCCCGGGGGTTGGGGGGGCCGGGGTTTCAATTGACTGATGCATTAATGTTTAATTGCAAAATCTGCAGAATTATTTAGTACTTCTACTTATATATATTACTTCTATATATTTTCTATAATGTGATATTCTAAAGCGCGCTTTCATTGGCTTGTTTTCATTAAACGTATAATAAGTTTTCACAGCGCGGCGATTGCGCAACCGAGAACAATTTTTAAACAGAGTGTCCGAGTTATGTTTGCTATTCGTACGGACATGGTATATATCGGACATTTTAAAGTAATTTATATAAGATATCGATTTTAAAATACTATAATTTTGTTTAGAGTCAAATMATGATATGAATACGCTACAAACTTCCTGATTTTACCATGCACATTTAGCCCGGCATAGAATACATCATCGCGAAAAGCGACACTTAATGAAATTTTCGATGTCAGACACGGACTGCAGCAATGTCACTACTATGTTCTCAATACCTGCTATGTTTAACACTTTTTTTKTGTGTGTGTGTGTGTTTTATGAATTTATGATTAATCATTTTTTCGTGGAAATAGTCGCCCATTTCGGCTTATAATAGAAAATCCTTGTCCGTACGAATAAGTCACGCAGTCTGTTCATACGAAAAAATAAAAAGAAATGAAAAACGTAATTCAAAAATTTCTCTAAGTAATCTAGTTAACCGTGATTCGAAAAAATTAGTCGTGAGTCGTGAAATCGCCAAATTTCTAGCCGTGAGTCGTGATGCRTACCACCCCATTGAGACCCTCTGAAATTTCTATGACGATCACGTCGATCATGTGCAGCTATTTTTTTGACACTGAAACACTGTTATAGCCAATAATATTTTACATTTCTAAGCTGCATTCCAGTCTTTGTTTTCATGATCTTCGGAGTCCGATCCGATTTTTCAATTGGCCATTCCGAAATTCAAAAGGAGACTGGGAACGAGTGGGAAAATATTGCATTTATCGAAAACTGAACCTCGCCACATGAAAGACCACACTAAAATAAGTGTTCTTGTCAAGTTTGAGTATATTTGGTAGAATACTCAGCGAGTAGAATTTTTTTTCAAATTTGCAAAAATAAGAGAGAATGTATGGTTTTTGGGGACGCTGATCAAGAGCTCCATACATTCTTTATAATTGTTTCCAGATTTAAAGGCTTGAAACTCTGTAACTATTAATCCGTATTCTCTTAAACTCAGYAGYTTTACTAATTTTAGTATGCTCTCTCTTGTCCTGGTGTCTGTTTTTTGATTGCTTCAMACGGTATCGAGTTTGTGACTAGTCACCAGTCCCTTTTTGAATTTCGGAACGGGAAATTACCTGTCTGTGATATCGATCACACATCAACAGAAATTAGTAAGGGACAACGCAATATTTATCAGGAAGAAGGGGGAGGAGCTGACAAATGGGCCCAAAACTAATCAAAAAAGTTAAATGGCTATTCCCCTCGCAACGATCTTCACTATGCTCGTTATTGTYCACTGAAAACCGTAATTTCTGTCTAGTATTTTAGGGTGCTTTCCATTTAKACAGAACTGGCCGGCCAGTCCACTCTATTTAGAGGTATATAATGCTTTTTGTCAACATYTTTCAGTCATTTCGAGGTTTTCTGTAGAATAATGGATAGARTTTGAAAATTTGAATTTCCAACTAATGGGAATGATATATAATGACATTTTCTCTGGGTCTGGCCAGCCAGTTTTGACAAATGGAAAGCACACATCGTCTCTTCTGCCCTGCAGGTCGTATTCTCTAAAATTAAGGTTCTTCGTTTTTTTTAATATGAGTTATTTCTATTATTTCTCTCGTAATGATATTAACATCAATCAATAACAGCGGGTATACAATTTCAAGTCCTTATTATTATTATCATTTATATTATTGCCATGTTAGAAATGTGTAGTCTTAATGAAAATACATTAAACAAAATGTGCTGTTGTGCTTTTTCTTGCGTGTACCTTAAAATGAACTGATTACACTATCGACTCCCTCCCTTTCTTCTTCTTCCCATGCGCCCTGTGAAATTCTTAGATGTTAGGAGTCTCTCCTTTTGTCACTAACGAGTCCGCGAGTACGGAAAGCAGTCTATGGGGCATGTTGTATACATTATTTGAAGACTACTAAAATTAATAAGTGTTCATATTTGCAGTCTATATTTTTACAGCTTTAATTGATTCATTTACACTATACACCTTTTCAATCTAAACCATTTTTAAAACCATTAATATTTACAAGTTCCATTTTATATATATTCACAGAGTTGTTTCAGAATTTCGTTCGGGGTTTAATAGAGGACAAGAATGATACAGAACATTTTCAAAACTTTTATATTTATATTATTATAATAAGAAAGATATGCAGATCTTGACACATTAAGTGGCTGTGCCGGCGAGGTTATCTGGTAATTTGTCTTTTACTGCTACAAACGACTTGCATCTGTCATTGAGAAGATCGTCGGCATTATACTACGTGGCTTATAAACTTGGCATTAGGTCAGTGACATCTTATTCACTTGAACCACATTTTTACCTGACTTGAGTTCAGAAAGTAGACACGAATCGTCACTAATTTACTGATAGATAGAATACTTTAAAAAGTCGCTTTCTCATATAGCTACTGTTGATGATCTCGGGTACTTCTGACTCCATCATATGTTCGCTGYTCGCTTTTGCTGATTACTGAGACTTGGTTGTTACGACAACAAGGAAATGCGCGCAAGAGTTGGTTCTTAACTCTGCGCATGCGAAACGCATATACAACAGAATTAACGAGGGAATTCCMATATTGGAGAAATTTAACGCAAAAGTACGGATAAGAGGGGAAGCCTATAAAATCCCCGATTACCAGGCATGTGAACGGCAACCACATWATAAGGCTTAGGAAGGTAACAACAGCGAGRGTTACAGTTAGTTTTTTATTTTCTTGTGTAGTTAAATCCTGTGATTGAGTGGTTGTGCAACGAACTTTCAGAACGATGAGAGAATACGCGACGGTAATGGTCACGAGAATGAACCCAATAATTGCTATCACAACATTTTTCGCGATGTTTTCTTCCACCAAAAAAATGTACTGACTTGTCAAGATGAATGGAGAAACCCACATGAAGACTATCCCGGTGATGTAGGGGACCTTACCTAATRTCGAGTGTCTGAATGGAAAGTAAGTTGCATGTGCTCGCTCAACGGACAACAATACCAAACCAAATAAGGATGCTGTTCCAAGAAAACTATCTTGGATGTAGAAAACATGCSTGAAGAAGGATGAATAATCATGAACTTGCCAGACTGCTTTTGTCAACCTAACAGTAAACATGGGAACGGACAAGAGGCCAATAAGGAGATCAGCTACWGCCTGATTGATGATCATAATGTACTGTTTGCTATGAAGACGGTGCGTCCGGTAGAATATGACGATTGTTGTGGCATTGGCTGCTGTAATAATCACTGCTTCTAAAATGAATATCCATGCTATGTTCCACATAACAATTTCAAGGTACTCTCCTTGTCGGTGTCTGTTCTCAGAGAAGACGTGACTGTTAAGGATRCGAAAAAACTTGATTTTATAAAGCTATGTGATATTGAGTTGATAAAATTGCATCCTGTAGTGAACACAGCTGCTGACGGAAACACAGTTACAATGAAAGACATATTTCATAGAATATTCTAAACAAATATTTCCAATTTCCAGCCTAATAACTAAGAAGTACAAATGCATTGCTTAATCACAATATTAAAAAAGGTGGAGCCTCAAGAAATACCAGCATCTATATTTTGTAGTTGAATTGATTTGAAGGAGATTAAACAGAACTGAGAAAGAACGAAAGAAAGAAGGGGAAAAAACTTCTCAAGAACATTGAAGGAGCTTTTTTGGAGCCTATTTTTTATTACATTTTTTTTAGAGGAGGGGGGTGCTGGATTAAAGAAATTTCCAAATTACGTTAATTTCCGGAGACAACTGAGAAGAAAAGCCGTGAACATATTTGTTTATTTTTGCTGAAATGACTTTTTTTGGTAGCAATGTCTTTTTGTAATGTTTCAATCAAAAACACCTGTCTTCTGCAAAGACAAGCATCAGTTATGGCCTTAACTCAAAACCTTTTTTATTGGATTCACTCAYTGGATTCATAGTAGACACACCCTAATTTAGAATTTGTTGAATTCAGAATTTTCAAATACCGATACTAAACTGTCAAAATCATCCGCGGCGACCGTCGTACAATAGGTACATTTGGAGACTAGTGTAGCAAGGGTGGCCGAGCGATGACAGCGCCGGCCTGTCACCGCTGTGGTCCCGGGTTCGATTCTGACTTGGGATCATATGGCCTGAGTTTGTTTCCGTTCTTTCCCTTGCTTCGAGGGTTTTTTTCCGAGTTCTCCGGCTTTCCCTCCCTCAGCAAAAACGGAACATTTCGATCCTAGCTGTGCTCCGTGATCAGATATGAGTCGGTTGGTTGGCTGCTTTGTGTGTGTGTTTTAACTATGTGATTGTCCTCATAATGATAGCGCCCTCGTATACCCCATAACCGACCCGATCACGTGAGCTGCGTCCTTCGTAATTCAGCACTCGGGCTGCAAGGAAGGGCGATTAGCTATCATCAATTTTTATTATTTTTTTTTAGACCGATAAGCTACAGAGCTGAGGTTTGCTACAGGCAATGTCATTCGCTTTCGATAACATTTATATCTATAAAGTATCACGGAGCGTTTCAAATCGCTTTTCGGAAATTCTTAACTACAATGAAGTAATGATAGATTTTATTGGTAAAGATTGAAATATATTTTTTATCTATCTATTCACAAAGATTTTTTTATCATTATTCCTATTATTAGAATATCATTGTCTTGATCAGCTTCTTGTTTAGAAATCTGCCATTCCAGTCGAACACTGCGAATTGTAGTGATATCCTTATACAGTCACAGATATCTTCCCTTTTTTTCATGATTTGTGAATTCAAAACTTAAGGTAATTTGCAGCCCCTGTTCACGACAACGTCGTATAATTGGAGAATATAAGGGAAACGGATACTTACCGCTCAAGGGAGAGCCCGCAAGTGGAGATTCGATTGCTTTTCATTTTTCATCATTAAACATCAAACTTTTGGTAAAAACGATTGATAACTGATTTCCTCTACTTAATGTTCAAACAGCATATAATATCTAAACTAATTGACAAGTTGCAATGTTTAGGGTTATTGCGAAACACATCTTCCAGATAACGAGCCTAATCGGCAAAGTGCAGCTACGCCATAGTGTACAACAAGGCATGACGGGAGTTTTAGTCCTCGCACTTGTTTATATACCCGTTTTTATGTTTTCTTTGTAGAATTGACACGACTACTTTAGTTTTTGAAATAGTAAARCCGTCTTAGGAGGACTGTTATACCTGACATGGAAAACTCAGARGACTGCAAMACCTATTATGATTCGTTACACAAAATGGMGTCGTTGCAAAWTGSGTTTTSTAAGACAATAAACTTACTCAATTTTTTCACCAGTATATTTACACTTATRGCCTTTACAAAACATCATCATCGACAAATCAATGAAACAAATAAGACAYGAATCAATTAAAGGAAATCTCTTGGTTTTCGTCCTGCCTTAATGTCTTTATCTCTCTGRAACAAAAACAAAATTGCATGGTGAAACAGGGTGTCCACTTAAATCTATAAAATACAAAAAAGTGCTGAATTCTGCTAATTCCCTTGTTATTTAATTTACTTTCTGTGAAAATTGAAAATGGAAATGAGGTGATGACAACCAGAGAATTGAGGTGGGGGTCTTCATTGATTATGAGTATCTTGCGTTTGGTTGAAATGATCATATCATCATTAAAAAGTGCTACTTGTATAAAAATTCCCTTATTTCAAAACTTCAAGTAATACAAATAAATGACTCATTTATATCTATTAAAAACAATTGCGGGAAAATATTTGTTTTGGAATTATCCCACATCAGAGAAATTTTGATTCAAAAGATGGAAGAACAAAAGGATGGAGTAAATGACGTCATATACTCCGACCTTTGTTTCTCAAATTATTAGGGATTTATATCAATATCTTCTTGAAATCTTCATGATTGCTTCATGATTTTTAGACCCACATGGATAGGTCTATTTGATTTCCAAGTCTTTTCTAATGTTTCGTAATTTTCGTCCAAGTAGCCCTTTAACAGTAAATTCAAAAGCAGGAAATGTTATTTCTGATCTAAAAAAGAATAATGTCCTTGTTTTCGTGATTTTGCATATTGACGGATAATTTTCATTTCTTAGTAGAAATCACTTAATTTGAATTTTCGATTTTTGCAGAAGTGCTTAGCAGCATGTTCTATTTCAAATAAAATGTAATATCCACTTTACTCAAACAATAGAGAAGTTGAATCGAGGGCATAAATGCAATCAACCAAGAACTCAGTACAAGGACAAATGTGCAAGTTTTGAGAAACATCTTGTTTCCAAGGCAACTAATACAGTGTAATGCTTGTGATTTCAACTGCTCTATTGTTTTAACTTCAAAAAAAAAAATCTGAACTGGCAGGATCTATGCAGTTGTAATTCGTTTGGAACATACAGGAGCCTGGTACATTGGTAAGACATTTTAAACCCTCCTCCCTAGTGAGTTTCTGATAATAGTTAAGAAGTGATGTACCTAGTATGTACAGCAAAATAAATAAAACAAAAAAAAACTAAGCAAACAAAACAAAAACAAACAAAACAAACAAAACAAAAACAACACAAAACCTATTAAATCAGAAACGTGAACAGAGGTGACTCAACTGTCACCTTTGAATATAACATGACTAAAGGTGCAAGTTGGATTATTTGAAAATCAATGTTGGTATTGGGCTTCCTGTGTCACCTTCACTAAGATTGACAGCAAGGTGTCAGTACTTATACATCAAACATAAAGCTTTCTGTTTGTAGCTTTCCCCTCCCRTTAGAGCATTTTTTTCAGTTTAGCATTATCCTCAGATTCCAAGAGCTGGATGTACAAAGGTTGGATAGTGCTATCAATTGGATTTCCTTATCTATCTTGACAAATCCCATACATGCATTAGTACTTTTAAAGAACAATGCGTCCACCATCTTTAAAAGTTTGACTGAAATCCCTAAATTATAACTTATATAAATTATATAAGGAATTAAAAGCTTCTCAGCTAATGTCAAGTTAATATAATACCAATATAATGGTAGATAAGTTGACTTAGAAACAACAAAATGTGTTCTACATGTAAGGCACAACATAGTTTCGGGGCCCACAATTTTCAAGATGGCGGACGCATTGTTCTCCGAAAGTACTGATGCATGTATACAAAATCTATGTACTAGGTGATAACTTTTTTTTCTGTGACTAATTGTAYAAAGTGTGGATAAATTCATGTGGTCCCCTCCTATAGACTTTGGTTTGAATTTAATTGCTGGATAATGATATTTAAAACTGGTGGATAGCACTATTCAACCCTACCCTTGACGCTTTATTGACACTGGTCAGGAGGGCAACAGGCATACAATGCAAATCTACTGTAAATTTGGTCACCTCTAGTATTAATTGAGCCATAACTTAAATTAAGTGAATATGAATAAGCCATACCTGCATTTTCTTAATGCCAAGATATAATGTTCCAGGTACAACCAAGCAAGCTATCACACAATAGAACACACTGCGCGGCCTGAACCTGAAATATTTGTCAGAGTTTTCTCTGATCCAACCAAACCTTTCAATAGCAGGATCTCTCTATTAACAAAACATAGCAAGACATGTTATAAACTCACAAAAGATATCACAGACTGGGTTACAAGGAGCCTCTTGGAATATTGTTGTCGAAATAACTGCCAGACATATGCCGGACAAGATGTCCCTTCCAAATTCATTTTTAGAAGGTCATGTCAAATTTTGAAAGGACAAAAATTTTTATATTAAACTATGATTTTCTTTTAATTTATAGATTTTTGTATTCAGAAAGATCGGCAAGCATTTTAATGGCTTGTAAAAGACTTATTTTTTGAATTGGGAATTGAGAGTTTTTTTATTTGTCTAAAAATGTGGCAGCTCAATTTGTCCTTTCAAAACCTGATTTGTCCATCTTTGGAAGGACATTGTCTTTTGACCGTTCGTTATTTCCAGCCCTTATTTAGACGGTGGAAAGTAGCAGAAAACTAGACGTATGAGTTGTGTCAAGGTTTCGAAAGAAACAGTTGTGCAAAAAGATAAATTTAACACTGTTAAAAAAGTAGGTGAAACAACACACTGACATTGCAGATGTTAATCCTTCGTCGAAGTAAAAAAGTTTAAATTTAAGTTCTAGATTTTTATTCAAAGAACTAAAAACAAGCAGGCTGTCATATGAAAACGGGAAAAATTATTTATAATATAAAATTTACAAGTGACAAAATACAGTCACTCAAGTTGAACTGTGAGGAACTGTGAAGACCCTCCTTTGTGCCACACGAAATGAGGAGGAGGAGGACAGGTAACAAGTTGAACTAGTCTTTAAAAGGATTCTCAATTTCTGAGTTTGTTTTTCTTGCATTGAGATGAGTTGTAATTTTGTGAAAATTGAAATACTGACTTACAACCATGTGTATGTAAGTACCATTAATTGAAACATAGTTTTTGTCTCTGGCTTAGATACCCAATAGTTTTAATCAAAAAAGAATTCTATCAGAACTAAAAATAGATAAAAGTATATAAGCTTAGCTTATGAGCTTAATAGATTGAATTTGATTATAAGCTGATAAAAAGCTGTATTAAAATTGAACACACTTTAAGTTATATATAAAAAGCTTACGTATAAATTACATGCCTAGCATTGACTTGTGAATAGCTAAAATAACACCAAATTGACTTAAGTGTGCTCTCGTTGCTCAAAATATAACAAAAAKTAAAACTGCAGGGAGAAAACTTACAATCAAACCGCCGCACTGTTCTGGGGGCAATGGAGGTCGCTTTGCTAACTCAGCCTACAGAACACACAAAAATGACAGTCAAGCAACACAAAATAAACACCAAAATATACYTAATAAAACAAAATAATAATTAAAGTATATACTTTAAGACAATGCAATTCATAAGTTGCTTTTTACCAAATGTTTTCGAGCTTCTTCCACAGGATTTGGACCGTACGGCGCGCCCGCCATCTTGGATCTGCTGATGCATCCCATCATGCATCTCGCCTTGYAAATATTCGGGTTTCCTGTGGTGATACATATTGTGCTTGCTGGGGACGAGCTATATAAACTGGATGGTATTTATGTATTATTGATTTGTATCATTTTCGGTATTGTTTCTTTGATGTTTTTCTTTTTTTATTCACTTTTATTAATTTACTTTTTGTCTTGTTAGTTTTACGAGCCGCAAAAGCTTTAGTTTCTACTCAATATAAAAAGAGATGATAATATTTAATCTCATAGCTAAGCTATTTATGTTGCGGTCCTTCTTCGGCCTACCCAAAGTAGTTGTATTTCGKAGCGACTTTGGGCCACTGTAGCAAAATTGCACAAAATCACTCAAAATATAAAGCAATTTTGAGCATCTTTTGAGGGATATTTTGATTGAATTTGGGTCGGTCCCTTTACCGGAGTAGCCGCCGTTGTAACTTTGAGAGACTTTGTCGGGCTATTTGTGAGATTCAACGATTTTGTGGGTCCAAGATTTAGGCCTTTGTGTTTACAAAATCAGCGGTGTAAAATTCCCAGATTCTGTGTTTTTTGGCGAAATACTTATTGAAGTGGAACTGAACTTCTCAAGAAAAGAGTGCCACGAATAACAAATAAATAAATTCCCATGCAACTCCCCTGCCCCCCCCTGACTACTCCTGATAAATATTGCACAGTCCCTAATGAAATATTCTATCAAAAAACGCAGAGAAAGCTGTGTTATCATGCACTGACTTTAAAACAAGATGACATTAATCCAATCAACTCACTTTTAACTCTACAACCCTCGCTCACACTCAAATAATCTAGCTGCACTTCAAATTTGATCGACTGACATTTTTTTCATATGATTTAATAAAATTTTCCGCCAACGCAGAGAAAGCTGCGTAGATTCATCCGTCACAGTTTCTTGTTAAAAGAAAGTCGACATATTAAATCAATAAGCACACAATAAATTCTAAAACCACTGAACAAAAACAACAATCTAGCTRAATTTAGGTTATAACATATCCAAACAGTAATATTGTAAAGGATCAATAAGACAGYGATAACAAAAGTCGCGGAAACAATGTCTACAGTGTATCGTCGCTGTTTGTCAAAGACCCATTTACTCAAACRTAAGCTGTGTTTGTGCAGTACGCTCGATCTTCATTTCTTTTGTGTTAAGAATATTCAACTGCATCAAAGGGAAGGGAAGTAGATGATGGCTGCCGTCAAATTGTGTCCGCTAGAAACTCAATATTGCTAGCCGTTTTATGCCATTATGAAATAAATAATAACAAAGGAATTGAATCATCTGTCTTCAATAAGCATTTATTTTTACGTCAATGTAAATCCAGCAAAAAATCTCTACGTAAAGTTGCATTCAGTATAAAAGAAATTAAACAATGACAAGGAAAATGAGAAATATTCATGAGGTTGTATCTGCAAAGGGCATTTGGCGTGAAGACAACGTTCCTTGAATGAGAAATTTTGTCTAAATTGTGCATGGATGATTCCCTTATTTGATGCAGACAATCCAGTTGGTAAATACTGATATTTATTTCATAAAGTACTTGGTCTTTTTTTGGTTCATTTAACATATCAAAGAAGAAAACCAATCTGTTTTATCATAGGTGATGATATACATTTTGGCCATCTTTCCAGCATTACTTTAAATTGTACAAATGTATGTTTAGTCGATATTAATCCTCAAATGACCGGAACATCTCGTGCAACTGTAAGGAAATCTTGACGATCAAATTGTCACAGWACTATTTGTTTTATGTATTTAAAGAGGTGCATCAGTAAGTGCACAAAACTGCCACCACTTTCATAGATCTCACTTCAGCTTCGTTAGCTTTCCAGTCTAGTGCCTCTCTGCTCCTGGGCAGCAGCGATTCATAGGTATTACACTAGACCGTTAAATTGTTAATTATCCAAGGAAACATCTGGTGTTAAATTTTCCCAAGTCTATTTATCAAAAGATTTAACGCTTTGAAAATGATCCGTAAAACGTTGGTAATTGCTTTAGTATTGCTGGAATCATATTTAATTGCTGAAGGTAAGTAGACCGATTTTATCGACTCTTTAAAAGTGAAATGGAACCAATTCAGCTTCAATTTGGCGGATAAGCCTGGTTTTCACTAGCGATTCAACTACGACAAGCGCAGTACGGAGCGCAATAAGTTGCACTAGTGGTGGTTTATTCGTTTTCAGATTTTTTTTTTGAAAATCAAACGCAAGTATAATGGAGCAAGCACGAGATATTAAAAAAAGAAAAACGTTTTTATATCATGGGTTCGTGACTGCTCWTGTGCTGTCTTTAACCGTACAAACTATTAATATTTTAATACACATGAATGATGCCTTTTGATTTTGCGCTGGCCTTTGCATCGTTAGAGAAAATCTACGAAAAAATCTTACATCAACGAACGATGATACCAATTTCATAGAAGTTATTAAAAATTTGCATTTTAGGAGTAATATTTTTAATGTTTAGGCTTTTTTTTCAATTTGCAACTAGATTAACATCAATGGCAATTGAAAGTCTTCTGGTTTTCAATAAGAAAAGCATTGCAATTCTAAAGGAAAAACAATTACGCATTGGTTATTCTTTTTATCTCATTTATAATTCTTTTTGTAGTATATTTTTTTAGTAGCTGGTGTTGAAATTCTTAGTACAAATGATAAATGTTTTTGATTTTATGTTTGTTTTTGATCGCAGGMCAACTTGAACAGTCAGCTGTGCAAGGTATTTTAATGGTCAACTTCTGGACGTCGACTAATCTTATTAATTGTACAGCTTTTTCACAAAATAGTGAATACTGAACATTGCTATATACAGAATAGTGCATTCCAAGACCGCAATGCATTGTTGCTGCTAAACTCAACATTTTCTGCTTTATAAAACGACGATTCTAAACTTAAATTGCTTTCTATTGAAGATCTTGACTATACGGAGCTGGTATAGTAGCTCTGAAAACTCTTAAAACGATGTTAGAACGTTTAACATGAATGCATTCCTGTCTTGGGATGCACTATCTTTAGTATTCATCGTTTTGCTAATTCGCCCGTGTATACAACAAATTCGTCGCAGAAAATTTTGTCAGCCATGAAGTCTACGAGTAGACGACACAGAGGATTATGGGTGATAGTTATTTTGGTTGATCTAGAGAGAAAGCGCACGCTATATTTTGGTTGATCTAGAGAGAAAGCGCACGCTATATTTCTACAATAACCAATCGAAATATCTTCCTTATCGCTTCCCACGCTTTCTAGATGAATTCATAATCCATCCATGATCTGTGACAATATCCATATCTGCTGTTGAYTCAAATGCGGTAATATAAAGTTTTGCATCATAGGGGATGCTGAGTCCAGGGTGTTTTCATAGGTTCGAAACTGCAGCAGTTTTGGTTGTATAAATCCTTAATATACCAACATTACCAAAAAATATTTGCCAATACATCCTATATGCTAAAATACAAGTTGTAGGTAATCACGGGTCTTTGGTTGATGCAACATTTTCCAAACATTTACAGAAGAAGATACTTGTCAATAATTCAGTCTTTGTCAGCACTTTCAGTATCTTGCAATCTTCCATTTCCCGGGAGGAGGATCACTGTTTTAGTGAGTAAAGGGTGGCAAAGTTAGCTTGGACATTGCTTGAGGCAGTCTATTTCATGAGTTAAGCATTGATTGTTTTTCTTTTTGTGCGCTTTTTATTAGGATACTATGGATTTCCAGTTGCATCCCAGGCACGTAGTGAAGGTAAGAACACACGGTGATTGCTTCGTTTGCGGTGTTTTTTTTTTAATGCAATTTACGTAATTGGCAAAAAAAACTGCGGTCTTGTTGACCATTGATGACCAAGTGCCATGAAATAATCGTTACGCTATCCCTTTAGAATGGTCCTTGGAGACCTGTGAGGTAAAAATTACTAAAGTTGGATGCTACAAAGACGACCTTCATACACCAAGACCACTTCCAAGGTTAATAATAACAGACAGGGATACTAACAGTCCAGCATCGGATGGCCATACATTTGACTGGGAAAATCCTGCAAAGTCGATGAGAAGGTAYGTGCACTAATTGGAAATCTACRAGGTCTAGTAGTTATCTATTGCATAAATTTTGCATGGGTTTATTCTTCGTTTTCAATTCATATGACGTCAACAAAGGATCGATATATGAAATTTAGATCGAAAGGACACGCCAGTTTTATGTATGACAGATTACTTTTATGGAAAAACATTACCAAGATTTGGTTTCATATATTTTTTTTTTTAGTTCCCGAGATACTTACGCTTGATTTGTGTCGCGTAATAGCTGTCACGTATTCAAGTCGAATGTAAAAATCGATATCAATTTGATAATTGGTCTTTTGCAGTAACACAATATCCTTGTATCCTTATCCTAATCTCAAAAATGATGTTCTATATCTTAATGAAATTTCTAGCGACATATAATTTGCCTTATGCTAGAATTTGAGATAAGCAATATGAAATATTTTCTAGCGACATATAATTTGCCTTATGCTAGAATTTGATATAAGCAATATGAAATATTCGCAGTCAATGTAAAAAGATAAATTTAACACCGTAAAAAAGTATGTGGAATAACTTACTGACGTTTCGGATGTTAATCCTTCGTCGGAGTAAAGAGACTGACGTTTCGGATGTTAATCCTTCGTCGGAGTAAAGAGAGAGAAATATTCGCGTCTGATCTTTATGTCCTTTAAAACTGACCGCATACCCAGCTCGAAGTTTTCATTGCCAATAAAAGGTCTACCGCTCATAWTTTATATATTACTCGTTATCTTTCAACAGCTTAGCCTGYCGWTGCGCCAAGAARGTGTTAAAAATGGGATATTCACACTTTTCCCTTCAGTTTTACGGTGAGTGCTGGAGTGGTAAAAACGCCGAGGCGACATTTTCTGATGATGGTCCGTCCAAAGAGTGTGTTGATGGTGGTTTCAAGCCATGCGATCAACGGCCTAATGTTCCATGTGCTG